TGATATCTTTCTCCTTGATATCTCAATATTATACCAACTGGAGCATCCCACCTAAATGGGATGTTTTGTTTCTTTAATTCAGTCACCAAAAATCCAAAGCCCTTTCTATCTTTTAATATCTTGGATGGCAGCTCTTTATATATCCAAATCTTCCTTCCATTCATTTCTAGAGTGGAGTTAAAAGACTTTTGCACAATATCATTTCTTATTCCTTTATCAGTAAAGTAAATCACCACATCTCTGGGCAACTGCCTTTGCTTTGCCACCCAAGAATTTACTCTGTAGGCCTTATCAATCTTACAGGATACCTCTTCAGGACTAACCTTTAAAATCCCAGCCAGAACTTCAGCAGACATCTTTCTCAAATCATCTCTGTTATTTTCCTGTATTCCCCTCATTCTGACCGCAAATTCCATGGATCCGAATTGCATCATTGTGACTTCATTTTCAGTCCTTTGTTTTATATTATCTGCATTGTAAGTCTCATGATCAGCTTCCTTTATTTTAGACTCTACTTCTGGGCTATTTTCTTGAATATTTATCAAATCATTTTCAATTCTTTGCATGTTATTATCCAGATTATGAATCTTATAATCAGCTTCCTTCATTTTAGACTCTATTTCTAAGTTGATATCTTTATCCATCTTTATAATTATTTCTGAAAAGCTTTTCAAAGCTGTTACAATATATCGTTTCAGGTTATCATACTTTTGTGGTACCAACTCTTTAATTTCCTGTCTAAATTTTTCAAGATTCTGATTCACAATCTCATCATGTCTTGCCATCTCCTCCAAAACAAATTCCTTTAGGTCTTTAAAGCCATTCTTCTGCATCTGCAAGCTCAAAACTTGTTCATGTGATTTATAAATGGGGGAGCCCCCCCCCCCAGCTTGGTTGTCTGGCTTTGTCAGTTTTAACGCCATCCTGCCACACAAACAGACTCTTTTTAAAGAAAAAGACTTCTCTCCAAACAATATCAATATCAAGTCTCTAAGAAGGAAGAAGCATGAAGTAGAAATTTTTCTCTTCACTTCCAGCCAGCACTATTGTTTCAGATACTTTGTAACGTATTAAACTATTCAAACGGAAGGACTTTCGCTTTCAGCTTTCTTCTCAAGCCTCAGCCAGTCGCCATTTTAAACTTTCTTTTTTTTCTCCCGTTTCACTCTTTCTTCACTTTTAAAATCACTCATAGGGTTGTTAGAAATATTTGCAATTTAGAGTCCCAGACCCAGATTTCATCCTGCTTGTTCAGACAATCTGTTAGTTTTCGTTGATTGGGTTGGTCCCATCGCCTGGCTCTGCAAAGCGCAGAGTTCCCCCGAAGCCCAGAGCAGCGGCAAGCTGGATAGGGAGCCACATTCTGCTTCCTCCCCAAGAGTAAAAAAAAAAACTCTGGGGAGTTCGCAGAGGGCTCTACCTGTTCTTGCCGGCTCTCTCTCACGTCTCCTCAATGAGACAGAGTTTTTCGAGCCGTCTCTCAGCTGTAGAGACGGCTCTTTACGGGCGACGAGGCTGGCGGTCCCGAAAGACCGTCTGGCGACGACGGAAACCAAACCGGAAGCCGCTAGTTTTGTATTTTGATGTGTTTTTGAAAAAATAGGATTCTTGGAAGCTGCTAGGGAAATTTAGAAACCTGGCACATAAGAAAATTTCTCCAACTGGAAAAGATATGCTCAATCCACAGAAAATGGATATATCAAAAATGGATGGGCATGAAGAGAGGATCACACAAATGCCACCATTATCTCTTGCATCCTGTCAGCTGTAAATTAGGTGAACATTGGCATGGTATCACACACATATTTGTCTCCTGTGCAGATATCCAAGGAAAATAGGATTGCATCTGCAGGATATGGTTCCTGTGGTTTTATTCAATACCGTGCAACTTTGTGATCCACATACTGAGACATAAAATGACATTTTATGTTAGCCACATTGATTAACTTTCGGGAACAAATATATGCTGTTATTGGGGTCTGGCATTTGTCAAACTATATGTTCCACCTTTTGATCAGAGCCTTAGCTCTCCCCCTCCTGCCTACGAACGTATCTCATCTTTGACCTGTGAATTCCCTCCACTCCAGGAGGCTAAATAGCCAAGTGTGAACACAAGATGATCAGGAAGAGTAAGGCTAATTGGGGAAGCCTTTTATCCTTTTGCAGGAAATACAAAAACCTAATTAAGATGTCCTACTCTTTTCCAGGGTATACACAAATCAAAGGTGCCAGAATTGGAGGTTTCTAAACAATATAAATAGGATTCACATTCCCTCTCTTTTGTAATTCTTCCCAGCATGTATCTTGTATGTGTTTGGAACAGTTGACCATTTAAGATTGATCAAGATTAAATGGTATGTTATTTAAGCCTCTGTTTTAAGTTTCTTGTTTGGCATTTATGAACTGAAACATATGACCACACACAAAAGCAGTTGGCTAATTTGTGATCCAAGATGCTATATGAAAACAGCTTATCTGGACTATGGTAAAGTGAATTTTGAAGACTTCATTAAATACGTAGTACTGTATGCAAATCAAAGTAATAAATACAAATGTCAGTATTAGGGAGAGAAAGATTAGGCTCATATACTGATCCAGTGATGTGAATTAGCTAAAAGGATTCAAGTCAAGCCATCAACCATTGGTTTCAATAAGTTTATTGAATATGCACTTTATGCCAAGTCATTATATTTGGATCCTTTTGTTGTGATCATAGCCATATATATTTAACATGGCAATCCTATTGAATTTCAGCATGCAGCTATCAATTCAGGGACTATATATCACTAGATTTCCTTAGAAGAAAGCAAACAAATATAAAATGTGAAAATCAGAATTGCATACTTTTTTCCAGTATAAAGAAATGTTTTATTTTAGGTTATTGTTCATCAGAAATAAATTGAGTATCTTTCAAAGTTAAAAAGGACAATTTTCCAGCAAGTTTTGGCAAATTACAAAGAGCTGTTCAAAGCTCTGATTAGCTATAAGTTCTCAGTTGTGCAGCTGTCAGAGCTCTGCAGTAGCGTAACTACTATTGCATATTAATACAAATTTCTACTATATTTTTTGGAAGAATTTCCCTTTTTCTTCTGTTGAATTGTGTCCGAGTTTTGGAACTGCCTAGACAAGCCCCTGCACCTTTCTTGACTAGATTTTTCAGAAGTGGCTACTAATGCCTTTTTCCTAGGGCTGAAAGAGAAGGACTGGCCCAAGGTCACCCAGCTGGCTTTGTGCATAAGATGGCACTAGAGCTCCTGGTTTCTAACCTGATTCCTTAACCACTTCATCAAAGGAGCATCTAATAGTATACAAAAAGAAAAAAAATCTGTTAAAACCATTGGATCAATCTATTGCTCTTATTTTCTTTCATATTTAGATCCCATTTTTCATCCAGGGACCAGGTAAAATACAGTTAAAACAAAAACTTATTTAAAAATGCACTTCCTTGTATTGTGGCCTAACAGTTATCCAGCAGTGAAATTTTATGTTTTTGGGGGTACAGGCTTGCCTAAAAGCATCTTTGCCTACTCAAGAGATGTCTTTTGACCCAAGCATTTATAAGGAAACTGCTAGAATCAAGATCACTTAATTTACTTGACTTGCTTTTTCCCCCCAAAGAATTTTAAACCAATTTATTATTTAAACATTGATAATATTTTATTTATTCGTTTGTATTCTGCCTAAATTACAAGAGAGTAAGATACTATACTTCTTGAATAGTTTTGCTGGAAGAAAATAAAAATCTTCCTTGTGTTGCAGCATCTCAGGAACGCAAGGTGCATGCATACTTTACATTATAAGGCAGTGTTTCTCAACCTTGGACGCTTGAAGATGGGTGGACTTCAACTCCCAGAATTCCACCCATCTTCAAGCGTCCAAGGTTGAGAAACACTGTTATAAGGGGTTTCACTTGTCCTCTGCAATAGAGCTCTTTACTGGTCAATATAATTAAAACTTAACAGGTTAATATATGAACTTTGTTAATCCTTCTTGCACTTTTTACCAGTAAAGATTAAATCAATGTAAAGTAGAATATAAATAATATGGACGGCTGACAGCAAAGATGTAACCACATTAGAAGGTGAAAAGATCAAAGCTGGCGGCCATTTTGTAAAACGGGTCCATGTCACTTAGATTAAAAAAAAAATAACGGGGAGGAGAAAAAGACAACCGTTACTCGCGCGCGGCCGCTTTGGCATTGGCCAATCAACTTTAGTCTTTAAAAGAATGAGCCCTACGGTCACAGCGCTCGCCAGTCCGCCCAATCAGCAGGCACCACACGTGGGGTCCCTCGTACGGTCCCGCGCACGTCGGGAGCGAGGACTACAGCCCCACCCAATCAATACCTGCCGCCTTCTCCACACCCCTCTTTTCCCCCTCCCGCTCAGAAAGGCTGTGGTGCGGGAGGGGGGAGCGCGCGCGCGCGCGCAGAAGGGGCCAATCAGCGTGCGCGCCGAGGAATCCTCGCGCCGCTGCCTCCTCGCTCTATCCCCCCTCCCACCTCACTCCCCCCGCCCGCGCGACGTTGCTGCTGCTCCCTACTCGCTCCCCCCTCCCTTCCCGACCCCCCCTCTCGGCGAGCTGAACCCCCTCCCCCGCTCGTTACCGCCGCCATGGACCCGAGCAACTGGAGCAGCTTCATCTTCCAGGTAACCCCCCCCTTTTTCCTCCACCTTCCCCCTCCCTTCTCCGCAAAAAAAAAAAGGGGGGGGGGAAGCGCGAGGAGGGAAGGACAAGAGAGCGCAAGCTGGAGCTCTAGGCTCCCTACTCACATCCTCCCTGCCCCGCCCCTCCCCTCGGGAATCCCAGCGGGCGGGGGCCCTTGCGCGCGCGGGCCAGCAGGGCGCACTCGGCACGCGCTCCCCCCCCACCGTCCGCCTCGCGCTGCCCCAACGGTCACCTCCCTCCGCCCAGCGTTGCCTTGCACTCTCTCTACCCCCTCATTCTCTACGCTCGCTGTGCCCAGCCCCTCGCGCTTCTCTCCCCCCCCCCCCCCGCCAACGGTCACCTCCCTCTCGCGCTTGCTCTGCCCAGCCCCTCGCGCTGCTCCCCCACCTTTTTCTCTGCCAGTTGCTACCTCGGTGCCTCCTCAGCCCCACTCCGAGGGAGCTTCCTTTCCAAAATGCCCCCCTAAAATACGCACGCCTCAGTCTCCTCGCCCTGTCACACACACATAATCCTCTCCTTTCCTGCTACCTCCACACTCCCACCACCCTCGGCCAATATAATGTCCCTTATCCATGTTGGTTCCCTGCTTGTCAGGCCAGTATCCCAGGGGTTTCCACCCCGCATTAGTTTGAACTTGGCCACCCATGCTCAAAAGGTGCTTCCTTCCCATTTTCCGGTCCCCGGTATTTCCTTACCCTCAAGCGCATGCACTTACAGTAGGAGGTGGCTATGGACTACCTTCTGGTGCCAACAGGTGTAGTGTGAATTTCCCACCAGTTTTTTCTTATATTTTTTTTGTATGAATTCTCAAGGGTATATCTCAATTGCCATAGGATAATGCAGAAAAATCCCCAATTCTTCCATCTGACCTAGTAATAGACAGCTGAAGACGTAACTAGTAAAATGCAAAATGACTCCATTTATTTAGTTTCCAACATTTTGGGTGAATTGGTGGCCAAGCCCAACCCCATGAGAGTTGCCTTAGACTTACCTTAACATGCTGTCCTTTCCTCAACCCACTGAGTTACTTGTCTTAATTTGCTCCCCCTTTTAATTATTTAAACCTGCAATCCATTACCCAACTGCTTTCAAACATACATGTAAATCCCAGATTCTTCCATTTCGCCAATAAAGAGTTAAGATTATATAAATAGGTGTAGATATGCCTAATAAGAGGCACATCTCTTCCATTCATTTACTTCCCCAGTGCTTTGGGAGAAGATGTGTATGTCGTTGGTTAAGCCCTGCCTAAAGTCAGTTGATTGTATTTGCTTTTTCCACCCTCTTTAACAATTTGTCTTAATTTGCTACCATTTTTAATTCTTGGAACCTCAGTTTTCAGTGTTTATCCAAAGACTAGCCTCTTCCTGTTGTATGCTCCCCTTATTCTTTCATCTAGTAGGAGTGCTGTATTTTTTCCCCAGTACCTGTTCTTTCTGATCAGAAATTCCTCAGCAGAAGACAACCTAGGCCTTCTGTTTTTCAGATAGACCACCACTCAATTTTCAAACCACTTCTAAATGATTCTCCTTTAAATTAACTGTCTTCTTAAGTTTCAGACATTACACTTTAACTTCATCTGCAGCTTTCTCTTTATCCTCCCTCCATTGTAGCCTTATTCTACACTTCAGAAATGTAAGGCACATTTCATACAGCGACTGCCTGTATCTGTTGCTATTTGTTATCTTTTCTGGTCTCCTTATAGAAATTTTTCATATAACTCTATCTCGTATTCTACATAGGATCTCAATTTATTTTGGCCGCAAGCATAATCAACTGCTTTGATATGCTGTTTCATGTGATTTGGATTTGAATGCTAATTGATGTACTTAAATAATATTATAAATTCTTTTTTTCTTCTGCTATTTTTTCATTTCCAACTCAATTGATCAATGTAATTTGTCCATACTTGCATAAAATGCTTAAAATTACTTAGCTCAGATAAAGAAAAGTTTGAGCTTTCTCACAATCCAAAAATTCAATATGGCTGACATTTTCAAAAAAATTTTTTTTTAATTAAATAAGCTTTTATAAGATAAAAACAATACAAAGTTAAAGCGAAATTAAGGTAGAAAAAAAGTGATAAGTAAATAGCAAAGAAAAAATAAAGGAAAGAAAAGGTTATAAAAATGGTTCTGATCTTTACAGCATTGATTGATTGATTGATTGAATTTATATTGCCTATTTGCCCATGGTGACTCAAGGCGGCTTCCAGAATATAAAACTACATTTAAAACAATAAAAACTTAACAAAAAGAATCAAATAAATTAATATAGTAGAATATAACAAAATCACCCCCACCCCCACCCCGACGACAGCAGATCACACGAGCCATTTAATGGGCCCCATCCTGGGTTTCCCAGGCCTGCTGGCAGAACCAGATCTTCAGCGTCTTCTGGAGGAGTTTAGAATGTGGCCATTCTAAACTCTGGGGGAGATTATAATTGTTATAATTGTATTTATATTTTAACCTGTCTAGGCGTCATGCTACTATCTGGTTTAAGATATTTTATCTTTTGTAATGAACTCCTCTTCTAGTTTAAATCAGTTTTCCTGTGGAATCAATTATTATTTACAATTATTTACAATTATTTCTCTCTATATTGGTTTTGCAGCTGCCTGTCATAAGAATTCTTTTTTAAAAATTAAAATTTCCTGATCTCCTTTATTTTGTTTTTTTAGCAGAGTCATACTCAGAATCCTCTACAGGTTGGGACTGAAATCCAGTCAAGATTTTTTGCTGCTCAGGGCTGTAGTCAAAGTCCTTTCCAGGTAAGCTATTTAGGCAATAAAAGAAAATCAAGTGAGCCTATGGGAAAACAATTGCTAGAAGTAACTGTGTCTCACTATTGCTGGTTAGATTTTTTGTATATCAAAAGTAATTGCACCCTTTTCAAGCCTTTTATTGAAAGTTGTTGCTGTTGCTATAAATGAGTTTTATTATAATTTAGTTATTATTTGAAGTCACTTTTTTTTATACTATTGACTTTGAAATAATCATTAGGCCAAGACTAGTAAAATTTGTGAGAACCAGTTTAGCGTTTAAAGCTTCGGGCTAGAAACTAGGAGCTGTAAATTCTAGTCCCTCTTTAGGCACAAAGCCAGCTGAATGATCCTTGGGCTAGTCATTTTTCTCAGCCCTAGGAAAGAGGCAATGACAGACGACTTCTAAAAAACCTTGCCAAAAAAACTGCAGGGACTAATTCTGAGTATTGGACAGGACTGAACAGAAGAAAAAAAAAGTTTGTAGCATTGTTTTGGATTCGTTCTGTTTTTTTAAATAAAGATTAAAATATTCAATGGGGCTTAACTCCCAATAGAACTACAGCCTAAAAATTTCTGGAAAATGCAAAAAGTTTGATGCTGAGAAATATCTAACAGATGAACGTTGCTCAGCCCTAGGAAAAACTGTCTCCGTGTACTTACTATTCAAACTTGGTTTGAGGTGAAGTACCCAAAAGCACAATACATCTGTAATAGCTGCATCACGTAAGACAGTCAACTGGCGCTTCATTTACCAAGCAGGAATAAACATAGTATCCATACCTTTTCTGCTTAAAGTAGATAAATAGCATGCAAAACAGGAGCTGTCTTTGACCTTGTAGCTGAGATGCCAATTTTTTTTAGGAATAAGTCAAAATCTACTCACTTTACTCTTCATTCTGTGGTTTGATTGCTTTGGATTTTTACTTGTACCCCACAAGAACAAGTAAGAGTTTTCACCCATGTTTGTGAATGAAAGAGTTTTTTCCCTCATTACAGCTATAATCTTGGAAGATTTAGATTTGTTTATCTTACCATTTTGGCAACCTTTTGTCATGGACAGAGAAGCAAGTAAGATTGTCAAAATCTCAAGTCAATTGTTGTATAATTCTTTTGTTGCTTTTTAAAGATTGTATCTAAATATATTTATTCTTTAAAAAGCACTAAAGCCTACTTGTTAATAATATAGATAACAGATCATCTTCTGAAATTATGTAGGTCAAAGATTATGTAGTGTTTTATGGTCATTTTTTTCTAAGACGTTACTTACATCATTTTAGTGACAGATAGTAATTCTTTCCATGTTTCTTGACTATATCTTCCTGAACTCACTGAGATTTATTTCCAATTAAAGTTAGAGGATTGTTCAAAGTTACGAACAAATGTCTGATCTGGATACTTACAGTGGATTAAGAAAGTATTCAGACCTCTTCACTTTTATCAGTTTTGTTATGCTGCAGCCTGATTCTACAGTTGTTGAAATTCATTTTTTTCTCATTAATCTATACTCAGTATTCCATAATTCAAACCCTTCACTCAGTACTTTTTGGCAGCAGTTACAGCCTCAAGTCTTTTTGGAGATGACATGACAAGTTTTGCACACCTGGGGCATTTTCTGCCATTCTTCCTTGCAAATCCTCTCAAGCTCAGTCAGGTTGGATGGCGACCATCGGTGGACAGCTATTTTCAGGTCCCTCCAGAGATGGGAGTTCAATAGGGTTCAAGTAGGATTGAATAGGGTTCAAGTCAGGGCTTCAGCTGGGCCACTCTAGGACATTCACAGGGTTGTCCGTAAACCATTCCTGTGTTGTCTTGCCTGTGTTCTTAGGATCATCATGTTGGAAATGAACCTTTGGCCCAGTCTGAGGTCCTGAGCGCTGTGGAGCAAATTTTCATTGAGGATATCCCTGTACTTTGCTCCATTCAATTTTCCTTCAACCCTGAACAGTCTTCCAATCCCTGCTGTTGAAAAACATCCACACAGTATGATGCTGCCACCGCCATTCTTCACTTTTGGGATGATTTTGAGCAGGTGATGAGCGGTGCCTGGTTTTCTCCAGACATTACGTTTAGAATTGAGTCCAAACAGTTCAATCTTTGTTTTATCAGACCAGAAAATCTTGTTCCTCACAGTCTGAGAGTCCTTCAGGTGCCTTTTTGCAAACTCCAAATGGGCTTTCATGTGTTTTGCATGGAGGAGAGTCTTCCATCTAGCCACTCTGCTATAAAGCCCAGATCAGTGGAGGGCTTGAGTGATGGTTGTACTTCTGGAACTTTGTCCCGTATCCACACAGGATCTCTGAAGCTCAGTCAGAGTGATCATCGGGTTCTTGGTCACCTCTCTTACTAAGGCCCTTCTCCCTCCATTGCTCAGTTTGACTGGGCACAAACTCTTGGAAAAGTCCTGGTTGTGCCAAACTTCTTCATTTGAGAATTATGAAGGCCACAGTGCTCATAGGAGGCTTCAGTGCAGCAGAAATTTTACTGTAACCTTCCCCAGATCTGTGCCTTGCAGTAATCATGTCTCTGAACTCTGCAGGCAGTTCCTTTGACTTCATGGCTTTTGCTCTGCTACAGTATGCATTGTCAGCTGTGAGGCCTTCTATAGCGAGGTGTGTGCCTTTCCAAATCATGTCCAATCAATTTAATTTACCAGAGGTGGACTCCAATCAAGGCGTAGAAGCATGTCAGTAACGATCAAGAGAAATGGGGGAGGGGGGGGTACCAGAGCTAAATCTCAAGTGTTCTTGCAAAGGATCTTAATACTTATGCCAGTGTGATATCTCAGTTTTTTCTTTTTAATAACTTTACAGACATTTCTAAAATTGTGTTTTCACTTTGTCATGAGGTACTGAATGTAGATTAATGAGAAAAAAATGAATTTCAACAAGTGTAGAATCTGGCTGCAGCATAACAAAATTGACAAAAGTGAAGAGGTCTGAATACTTTATGAATGCACGGTATATTGATGATTATATCACCAAACAATAATTTATATATAAATCTATTTAACAAGCAGCATTTTCTCTACTTTTTCACAAGAGTATATATTCAATCCCTCTGCATATGTGTTAGAGGAGTTAAAATTATACTACAGTTCCTGTTCCATGCTTTCTGTTGAGTGCTTGGAGCAATAATACTGAAAATCTGTCTTTGAGATAGGTATGGCAGTATTACTGTTCACTTATACCATACCTTGGATTGTCTGGACTTTATTTCTGCTCTTCATTTTAAATCATCAGTACAGATAATATGCAGAATATAATCAGTTCTGGTTCATACCTTATGGTGTGAAGATGCACTTCTTTTGTAAGTATGAAAGGCAAAATAAAATGCCTAAATATGACAACAGTAAATTTCCACATGTTTTTGTTAGAATTGATTGATTTTTGAAACCTATATGAAACCATATACATACTGGTTTAATTTCAGGAGTGCTTTAATCTCAGAACTCCATGCTCTGGGCAATTACAAAGAAATTAAGTAGACTTATTGAAATATGCATGGCTCAGGATAACCATGCATTTTAAAATGCAACTAATTTTTATCTAGATGGCTTCTCTAAATCTACCTTGTAATAGCTGATCATAATGCTTTGAGGGTTGGCTTTCCCTTACTCATTTTGTCTGTAAATTGTCTGAAATAGTGAGAGCAAGCATGTTTGGGCAACAGCGTAGTCATTTTTATGGAAGCAGTTTCAAGGTGTATTTAATTTTAAAATAGTTTTTGAAACTGAGTCAAAAACTTATTTAACAGCAACAGCATAGACTTGAGAGAATATAATTAATTTTATACTAAGAAAACTATTATGGGCTATAAGGGAGATCACTTTTTATTGAGTATCATTTAAAAATAAATATTTTTAAATTAATTTTTTATTACTATCATTCTTTAGGATAAATTATAAGCAGGTCTATCTTAGAAGATTGAAAGTAAGCTCCTTATCAGTGTGAATGAATGTTTCTGCAGCACTGAGAACATCAAGCTAGAATTAAAAGTGTTTCTCCAGGAAGCTAAAGTTAGTGGCAGGCATTATTTAAATAGAAAAATAATTATAAACTACAGTTTTTTCATAATTCAGGATGCCTGCATTTTCACTTTGCAGTGCAGTACAGTACATAGAAATTCCCAACCATTTGGTAAAAGTATAATAGGTAAGTACTACTATATGAACTTAATCTCTAATTCATAGTACTGAATTTCTCCTCCTTGTAGAGAAAACCATAAGAAAAATAAGATGGTTCTCCCTTGCAGGTATTAAAGCATAAATGCATCATTGGGGCATCTGCACAGCTACATGCCCTTAAGTCTACAGTTAAGGCCTTGTGCCATATGTGGATTATTTCTTTAGCTGAACCTTGAACAGAATAAATAATATAGAGATACTTTTCCTACTTATTTCCTGTTTGTGCACACATTAAAACTGATTGCCTCAGTTTAGTGTAGAGAAAGACATTCTCTGGAAAACAAACGGGATAGTACTCAACATACTATATCTTTCTGCTGAACTGTGGAATTACTCCCTCTTCTGCACTGTCATAGACAAAAGCCAGCTAGTTTTTTTCCACTCTTATTCCAGGATATTGCATACATGCTGATTTTGTTCCTTGTATTTATAAACAATCAATTTTAAATTCACATACTGTGTCATCTGTTATGCAATAAGGAAACTATTTTAGTCAGTAGTGGAACAATGTAATACATTCTGGGATCAGAAAAAGGAAATTCTCCACATAGTGGAACCCTCAAATATTAGTATATTAAAACCAAGAATTTGCTTTTATTCTGTTTAGTAGCATATGCTGCATATTGATTAATTCAGCTCTTTCTGCTAGTAAAAACTATGCTTATTTTTGAAGTAAGAATTTACTTATCTTCGTATTTAAATTGCTAGATTACTGTAGGGTTTCAGTATTGATTGTTCATCACTATGTTACTCAATTATACAATCTCTCTTTCTTCAGACTGCCACCACAACTGCTCCTCCCCAACAGACAGCTACCCCCGCTGAGTCCCTCCAAGTGGACCTCCTGCCTGTTTTGGCTGCAGCACAAGAAACAGCAGCTGCAGCTGCTGTGGTTGCTGCTGCCACTGCTTCTGCACCAGCTGCTTCCACAGTAGATACAGCTGCCTTGAAACAGCAGCAGCCTTCTGCCTCTGAAGGTGGGAGTGGGCAGGTAGTGCCATCCACTCAGACCACGCAAGCCCCTACCCCACAGGCAGCTCCTACCAACCCCCAGGCAGCTGAGGCACAGAAGAAACCGAAGAGTAAAGGGCCCTACATCTGTTCCCTGTGTGCTAAAGAATTCAAGAATGGCTACAACCTGCGGCGCCATGAAGCTATACACACAGGAGCAAAAGCTTCTCGCGCTGGACCTGCAACCATGAAGATGCCCACTATGGTTCCCCTCAGCTTGCTTAGCGTTTCTGCCATTGGTGGTACAGCCCCAGCAACACCTGCCCCTACTGAGGGTACTGGAAACACTGCAGGGTCAGGTGCAGGCCTAGTGACCACAACAGCATCAGGCAAACGTATCCGGAAGAACCATGCTTGTGAGATGTGTGGGAAAGCCTTCCGGGATGTCTACCATCTCAATCGGCATAAGTTGTCACATTCAGATGAGAAGCCCTACCAATGTCCTGTCTGCCAGCAACGATTCAAACGGAAGGACCGCATGAGCTATCATGTCCGTTCACATGATGGTGCTGTGCACAAGCCGTACATCTGCAGCCACTGTGGGAAGAGTTTCTCTCGGTATGAGGGAGTTGAGGGTTTAGGGAGGATGCACTTCATATGGGAATTTTTGAAGTGCTTGCATGAGAAATTTGAGAAAAATATTTCCCCTTTTTGGTAAAGACTAAGATACACATACAACATGCCAGACTGACTTAGGAAGGCACAATAATATAAACTGCAAGTTCCCAAATCAGTTTGTGGGCCAGATCAAGCCTTCCTCTACTAACTTCCTCAGATTTCTCTAATACATTGACATAACATTCTAAGAGACACTGATAGACACTTAGTTCTATGGGTCCCCATAATAGCTTCTTAGGAAATCTATGCTTTCTTTTCATCATTAACCTTAGCAACAATTTCCTTATTCTATATAAATTCCAACTGAGAGAAGAATTGTAAAACAAATGTGAGAACACATTTCTCCTTGGTGTGGCTATCAAATGACACTATCAAGTGTGCAACCTTGAAAGCTTCTCAATTACTGCCATAGTTATGGTGGATTCTAAAATCAAAGAATTTATGACACAGTTTTCTGATTATTATGTGCACGAGGCACCAAAAGTGAATTGAGATATCTTGGCAGACTAAGAATTAAGTTTGGAACCTCAGAAAACATAAAAAGATCTATTGAATTTAAAAAGAAATGGGAAAATCATTTTAAACTCATTCCAATGCATACTCATTTTGATATTATCTGAAATTACCTCATCAGATTGATAGTTTGAAATCTTCAAAGGCATTCTAAAAAAGATGCTCTTTAAGTAGTAGATGACTTTTAGAATTTCTGCATATAAAGAAGAAGCCTGTACTAAGACAATATTATGAAGTGGGGGGGACAATTTAAAATTTGTCACTGCTAGCATACTACATTTGGGGAGTCCTTTGTTTTTAGCTCTGAATTCCATGTTAACATGGAATGCCTTACATTTTCCTCAAAATGAGAGTCTGAAAAGATTCCAGGCTGTGATTTTTACATATTAGAAAATATTTTTGGATCAAGCAACAAGCCATGAGGTCAGCTTGTGGGAAAAGGAAATACCACATTTTCAGAACTAAAACCTTGCAAGAGTATCAAGTAATGACATGGTACTGTTTTGGCAACAAGCTTATAAATTTTGTCAATGCACTATGGTTAAAAGATTTAATTACTGCAAAACACTTTAGCACTCCAGGATATTTCAGCAAATACCTGCACAGAAGAAATAGAACCATAAAATAGCAAGAGTCTGGAATACCTTGGACTAAAATACTGAAACTGCTTAATTTAAAACATAGATTGTAAGAAAAATAAATTATTTAACACTGGCATGAACAGAAGTTAGAAATAAATCTCAAATAATAGACCTAGAGTCAGTGCACAATTTCTTCAGTTCAAAATTCGAACTGAAAAAGCACCCAGGATTCAAAATGGACACAAAAGGGAAATTGGGATTTTGAATGGGTCTAAGATTTTGCTTCTAAAGTGTTTGGTAAAATCAACATATACCAAAGAAGTCAGTTTTGATACTGCATACTCTGGAGGCAGTATCTGATACTGCCAAACAGATACTGATGAGATGCACATGGCTCGTGAACTACACTTTTTTACATAAGTTCCAAAGAATAAGGATTTGTGTTTTGCTTTAGAAATGCAAAAATCTTAACCAGGTTGCTGTTTTTCAGACATTCCTACAAATGTTGAATTAAAGAGATACACAGGAAAAATTGTTCCAGCTGATATAAATATTAGCAAATAAAATTAAGAATTATATTGCTTTTATTTGCACAATAATAGGGATATTAAATTTCTCTGGCTGTTTTGGAAAAAAAGACAATTCTGAATAAAAGTTGTATGTTATGTGGAAGGCAAGGGAAAAATGGATAATAGCAATCAAAAAGGTTGCTGGTACTCAATCTCTTCCTTGGTTTTTATTTGCTACCCTTCCTCCCCCCCCCCCACTATGGAAGTCATGTCCTCACTTTTTAAATATAAGATATTTTAATATTTACAGTATATTCATATTCTGCAAATGCCAAGCATTTGTAATTTTGTACCCCAAATAAATTGCCAGGTTGGTCAATTATTGCATTTTACTTCGAAATCCCTAACAAAAGCTCCTTATAAAAAGAAGAATTAACATACCTATGGTTTGTTTTATAAAAGGAATTGGTTCTTCTGGATTCAAAAATACAAGAGATCTTCACTATTTTTAAACATCCAATTTATAATAATTAAAAATCTATATTAGAAAAGGTCTGATACGTTTGATACTTAAGGGAAGGAGTCAGTGAAACTGCAACTGTGCCTATGATTTTATTTCAGTTTTCCTTTGTTTCACAAACCTGTGAAGGCTATAAATGTGAGAATTGATTATAAAAGTACTTTTTCATTACTGTTATAATTGCATGGTCGCTAAATAAGACAGTCCTGGAATTCAAAATATAGTCTGAAGCAAAAGGAATCGCATAAGACATAGATGATGTACCATTGTCTGCAACGAATCCCTTCTGTTTTTATTTAATACTTATAGTAGACACCATTTGAATCTATTTACAAATTTTTCCCATTATGAATGCTAAAAGCAAAATCTTATCTAAATTAGTTCAACATTAACTAGGTGTAGTTAAGCAGTCTCATTTTTAATAGTAAATGTTCTGACACATGAAAACCATGATGTCCCTCACTTCCAGGATTATGATTTCCAGATTTAATTTGCTCCATATGGGTCCTCCATAAAGCCAAAAGATTTATTCTGCTCTGTTGTCTCGTTAGATTTATTTAATATCTATTTGCCACACAACCATTACAGATTAACCAATCATTTGGTGGATTAATTCCTTATGAATTGTTCATCATATAATAATCTAAATTCTTATTAGTTAATTCTTTAAAGTGTCAGACACATATTTTCCATCACTAATATTATGTAATTTGCATATGAGAATTTCCAGAATGGAAAGGCTGAAAGAAGAAAATTCTGAAGGCTGTTCCTATTATATATGTGCTGCTTTTGCAGTTATTAAATATACATGATTCTTCCCAGTTTTAAAAAATGTAATCCTGCTATGAAAGAAATTTACCACTCTGTTATTCCAGTCTTCCCCCAAATGTAAGATATCAGATTCCTCAACGCAAAGTTTGTATGGTGGATAAGTAGAATCACCCCAACCCTGTTTATAGAATAAGAAAACCCATCTCATTTTACTCTTTTTCTTTCCTGCCACAGGCCAGACCATTTGAACAGCCATGTTCGACAAGTCCACTCAACAGAGAGACCCTTCAAATGTGAGGTATTTTTTTCCATTGATAACATTGTTGTACTTATTTATGCTCAAGTGTTCTGGGCAATCTTCCTGATACAAGAGAGAACAAAGATGATGTACACATTAAGGGAATTTTATGCACACTTTAGTCTTTAGCTGTTAAATGCATTAGGCAATGGACCGATAGATATAACATTCATTTATATAATTCTTTCCCCCCTATTTTTGCAGACTTGTGAAGCAGCTTTTGCCACTAAGGATCGACTACGTGCTCACACAGTCCGTCATGAGGAAAAGGTGCCATGTCACGTGTGTGGAAAGATGCTGAGTGCTGCCTATATCACAGACCATATGAAAGTACACAGCCAAGGGCCGAATCATGTCTGTGAACTGTGCAACAAAGGTAAGAGAATAGGGCTCAAGACAGGTAACATTTGAACTTAACTGTAAATATACAGTTAAGTTATTTGTACAGTTTTGTACAGTTACAAAATAACTTTTGCTTTTAAAATGTGCTAAGAAGCCCTGTATGCAAATGTGTGCAGGTTTTCTTAACTTTCATTCAGTTTCACTGGAATTTAATTCCAGTAAATTAATTTAATTTTTCAAGTTTTTCCCTTACACTCTTTCCTTCAGGAATCTCTCAGTGATAAATCTCTTTATTCTTGATTAACCTGTTTGAAGGTAAAGTTAAATTCAACTTGGTTTCTAGGTACTATTCCCAGCCTCAGCCCCCACCCCCAATTTAATATCTGTTCTAGATATTACTTTCCCTTTTTTGGGGGGGGGGATGTTACCTTCAAGTCAGTTTCAAACTCTGGCAACTGCTTGAACAAGTCATTTCAGTTAGTGGGTTGCCATTGCCTTCTTCCTAGAGCTGAGGGAGAATGGCTGGCCTAAATCACCTCATTCACTTCATAACCTAATGCAGTACTAAAATTAGTTTCTCTGTTTCTAATCTATTTGAATATTACTACTTTTCCATAAAAATGAAAATAAGCTGCATAATTTCCATCAACTAGGATACAGCTAAATAACCTCATATAATGACAGGCCAAGGGGTGAGTTCTGGCAAATGCTGTGCGGAAAAAAAAGCTGGATTTAAATACAATTAAAAACATTTAAACATGGAACCAAATTTGCTATCCATGAGTAATTCTGCAAAAATGCATATGAGACCTGTTAAGATTGTCCATAATATATCTTGGAAATACAATATGAATTACTGAAACTGAAATCTCTTAATACGCAAGTATTAATCAGGCTGTCAATTTATATTTGTTTAAAATAAGCAAACTGCTTGGCAATACAAGTTTTCTCCCATTTATATGTCAAAACATTCCCCTAGTTTCATTTTGTAAGACACAGAAGAGATTTATATTATGCAGTATAAGTGAAAGATAATGCTTCTTATTCCTATGGATATAGTCCAATGAATTGATAGATTTGTACAAGAAATAATTTTAAGAATGGTTGAAAGGCAATTCCCTAATATCTGCAATGGATGTGTCTGTTCATTAATTAAAATTATTAGACAATGTGCAAATTAAAAATTGTGGTGGAATTTTTAAATTTTAACAGGGCTTTTAATATTTCTCCTGGATTACATTTTTTATTAATGTGTGTTATCCATATATTAATAATAAATATTCATATATATGGAATCTCAGAAACATAAAATAGCAGTTTATTTTTTGTTGTTCAATTTTGGCTCTGAAATTTGTAGTGAATTAAATAATAGAAATACAACATTATAAATTTCTTGTACATTATAAATTTCTACTGACATTCTCTTACCAAAATGTTGAATACCTTCTGTTGAAGGTTTGGTGATTTTATTTAAGTTATTTGTACTATATTGATTTCCTTAGTAGCAAGATGCAGCTGCCCTTAGGGTGGGATGTGCTGTTTCTACAGTGATAACTTGCTTGGTGGCAAGAAACAGCTGTCTTTGGGCTGAGAAGCTGTCTCTGAAATTAAGGAAGCTTGTTGCAATAGATCCTTCACTAAGTTTCAAGACACAGCCACCTCTAAGATGAAGCACAGCCAAGCATTGCAGGACACCGGGTTAACGCTTTCATTAGGCCGGACACTGACCTGGCTGGTTTTTGTCCTTCTCCCCCTCCCGTAGGGTTCACCACAGCGGCCTATCTCAGGGTCCACGCGGTCAAGGACCATGGACTAGCCGCCCCGCGGCTGGAGCGTTTCCTTTGCAAGCTGTGTGGTGTGCACTGCAAGACCCCAGCTCAGCTCAACGGGCATCTGCAGACGCACGCAGGAGAAGGGGCCGCGGCCACTGAGGGCCAACCGCTGCGGTGAAACACTGGCCGGGCCACCAGGCAAGAGCCACTTCCTTCTGTCCTGGGAAGGGGGAGGGGAGGCCCATTTTTCCCCTAGGGTTGTTTAGGCATCCTTATATTTTCAGTGAGAAAAGGGAGAATCCCAGCTCCCTGGGGCAGCTGCATCCTAATTTAGCATCTTTCTGCCAGTTTAAAGTGCTGCGTATAGCAGTATCTGATAGTGTGATTTGACTGATCTTCCTGCAGGTTCATCTTCAGGATTTGAGCTGTAATTTTTAAAAAGCCATACACAATCCATTGAGTGTTGTATTTATCTGAATATTTTTCTGCGGGATTATGGTGTGTTTTTAATGTTAAACCAGGAGGGTTGGGGATATCAACAAATACTTTATGTTATCAACAGATACAAATCCATTGGTAAGTGTTTTAGTTTCTTTTTGCCTTTACAGATGGTTGCTTGTATTATGCATCCTGGACAGATCCATTTTATTTTACATTGTACTTTATAGTTTCCTAATCCAGGCATTTAAGTGATAAACTGAGATTCCGTATTGTCTTCAGGAGGAGGATTAACAGTTAGTGCCAACCTGACCTTATTTAATTAGCATACACAGACTTAACATACTTAATCTGTTCAGCCTTTTAGAATGAAATTTTACCAGGCTGTGGATAAATAGGGTATTTTGGAGAAGGGATAGCTGCATCTCTTCTTTACCTCATTAAACCAGATTACTAAATCTGAACTAGTGTAAAGTAATAAGAGGATGTAGGAAGCCAGATGAAAGCTTGGGCTAATAACAGTAAGAGTTTGAGGTATGAACATTCTGACTTTCTTTTTCTCTTCCTCCACAGGTACGGGTGAGGTCTGCCCCCTCGCTGCAGCCGTCTCAGCTCCACCTCCAGCCGCCGTCACGGTGCTGCCCATGGAGGGAGCTTCGGTTGTGAGCCAAGCCCTCCCCACACAGCCCTGGTGATTTCTGGGAGTGGGGAGACAGAAACCAATCCTCCCAGTCCCATCCCTCTCCCTCACTGGCAGCTGGAACATTCAAGCCCAGATGGATATTCAGTGACCATATATGGGTTTCTAATGTAATGGCAGTTTCATTCATTCTCTCCCCCTGCCTGTGCTCATAAAATAGTGGAGCTGGGAAAGCATCTGCTCAGCCAATGAAGTAACTCTTGTTCAGAGGGCCATGAAAAGACTTTGTGCATTTTGAGAGCACCCTCATTTTATTGACTCCCTTACTATTAACTTGTGGCCCTCAGAACAGTCCTGGAAATACATTCATTTCTGTAATCCATGGTCTAAGCCAAATAATGATAATCTTTTATCACAGTAGATCTTGCTTATTCCAGCAGTGCCCCCTGTTGCCCTTAAATGAACTTCACTAAAAGAGTGAGATAATGAGGCAGAATGACTTAGTAAGCTCAGCTCACAGACCAAGGGGGATTGAAGACTGGAATAATTGTGGGATGTAGTATAAGCAGCGTTGCAGGAGAAGGAGTACAGAGTTAGAAATAATGGGTTGGTTGAGGGGTTGACAAAACTTGGGGAACCTACAGAGAAGTTAGAAGGGGTTACAGGTTGGGATTTTGCGGCATCATTGGGTGCCTGGTGCTCATGGCTGGGGTTGTTGGGGCTGCAATGAGATGAGATGGAGAAGGGCTGTATTTTTTTCTCCATGGCTTCAGTGTGGAGTGTTCTCCATTTCTGTGCTGAGAATCTGCTCTGAATTCCCCTCCTTGCCCAGCGCCTCATTCTTCCATGGTGTCTTTTAATGCTCCATTTCCTCAGCTTCTCTCGTGATTCGTGTTCCAAGCGCATCAGCCCTTTGCACCAAGCATTGATGCCCCACCTGCTGAACACCTCCCTTGTTGCATGCAACCCCCACAGTTCGGGGTTAGAGTCTCGCTTTTTTGTATTATATATATTAAAAAAAATCCCCTGACATTTAAAATAACCATCCTTTGTGGTTTTTCTTTTGTTGTTGTTAACACAAATGTAATGAAGCTGTGTCCATCTATATCCACTCTCCCTATTCCTTCTCTCGTAAGCCCCTCCCCTCCCCCTCCTTTCCTCTTCTGTGAGCCCTTTCTGGATCTGTGTCTCAGCAGCAAAAGATTTTAGTAAAACAATTGAAGGGAAAAATCCTCACTTGTGTCTATTTATTGTCAGATTATTTCGGTATCACTTTGTGAAAAAAAAGTATCCCGGTTCCTGACTCCTCTTGCATCTCCTTTTATCATCATATTATCTTGGGACCTTTCATATCTATTTAAAATGTGTAATGGATAAAACATCAGGTTGCATATTTCCATTCTAAGTGAGTTCCTAAACCACTTCCTTGTTTCTTCCAATTACTCATGGGACTGCTTTCTGGGTCATGGCTTAGTGGGTATAGCCTTTATAGGAAAAAGAGCAATTCTGAATGTTTTGGAGCCAAAAATCATGGTGTGATGCAGTTGCTGTGTCTTGGCAAGCCATTAAATGCTGCACTGGAGCTCCACTGTGGTTAGAGTTAATTTGTGGGCTCTTTTCGTCCTTCCTCCTGCAGCAGCCTGGGCAGCTTATAAATAATTGATGAAAAACTGGAACCGAGAGATTTTATATAATTTTCTCCTGAGGAAGCAGGATTCCCCGAAAACATTTTCTGCATCAAACTCCCGCATCAGTTTGCTGAGCTCATTTGGATCCAAAACATAATTCGTCTGTTTTCTCCCATTTTTCTTAGGCTGGTATCCCAGTTTTGCACCCTTGATGGGGCTTTCAGTTCTTTCTAATTTGACCAGGTTTTGATTTGCACTGGGCAGTCCCAGAGGAAATGGTGTCAATTGTTCTGGGACTCTAGTTCTTTGATACTCTCTGCACTTGTAGCTTGTCAATATGAAGTTTTTGGCAAGGAAAGACAGATGGGAAAATTATCGGGGAATATATGGGACTTTCCAGCAACAGCATCATCTCTGCTAATCTCTTGCCCCTGCCAGATCAGCTGATTCTTCATAAAACTCAAACCACAACTACTCCCACCACAGCTTGCATTGAAGAAGCAGGGTCGATGAGACCATTTGACGCGTACTAGTGCAAAGGGAAGGGAAGGGGCATCCTTGCAGACAAAGCTGCCGAGTGAGCAAGTAAGAGGAGGGGGGGAAGGGAGGCGGAGGCTGCATTTTTTCCCATCTACAGTAGCCTCTTGTTCATGGAATGGGAGAAAGGAGGGTTACAGCAGCAAGAGGGAGGGGGTGTGTTGTGTGAGTAAGGGGTGGCATCCATCCTTCCAGCTCTCTCTCTCCACCCCACCTCAACACCTGCCAACCGGACATAGCGAGAAGCGCAGGTAGGAGAATGGGAGACCTTTCTTGGGTCCGGTCTTTCTCTGCACCCACCCACCCACCCCCGCCCCAAACCTCTCACTTCTCTCCTTGTAACAGGAGGTCGGTTGTTGCTGCGGCAAGCGGGCGGGGGAGACCAAAGAACACCGAAGTGAGCTGGGTGTGGGCGAGAGGAATGTGACGCTCGGTGGTAGATGGAGGGGCGTCCTTGGGGGGCATCAGAGTGTGGGAATGTGTCGGGATGCGAATTGAGGGCGGGGGCAGTCAGGAATGCTGGGTGGGCGTGGATCCCATCCTTGGCTGAGGTTCCCTCTGGAGACCAGGAAGACTGAGCAGCAGGTATAAGGGCGGGGTGGGGGGGAGTGCGTGGGAGGAATGAGCTGAAAGAGGAAAGTGGCGGGTTGGTGGAGGCGAGGAGATATCGGCGACGAGAGTCGATTCGGCTGTGTGTGTGTGTATGCGCGCGCGCGCGCGCCGCCCGACGAAATGGCTGGGTGGGGGGGAGGGAGAACAGGGTTGGCTCTCTTTGCTCCAAGATGGGTGTGAACTGGGGATGCGGGAAGAGGGTGTGCGAGGAAGTTGGAAACAGATGTAGGGAGCGCTCGGTAATGAAGGCTTTTGACCGAGTTAGGGGTCTTCCAGATAACGTACCATACCTTGAAAAGGGAGAAAGCGAAGGTTGGGACGCGGAGTAAGGCAAGGATCCGATGCACACTTAGTCGCGTGTGTAGAACAGAGAGGGGTAAGGTGACATCAGGGCTTTTCTGAAGGCAGCAAAGTGGGGAGGATAGCGAATGGCCTATAGACCGGAGGAGGGATCAACTTGGTGGAGAGAGCGAGTAGCCACGAGTAAATCAGAAAGGAGAGAAGAGGGAGCGGGGCGGCGGCGGAAAGTAAAGAGAGCCTCTTAAGGAGCTGTCCATGGTAGAAGCCAGATCTGGGAGAGGGTTGAATGACGGAGAAGAAAGGCGTGAAAGCAAAGGGTTTGTAGAAGTGAGTTCACTCTCAAGAGCAGACGGGGAGTGTGGGAGAGAAGAGAAATAGCAGGTTAAAGAGATTTGGGTACTTGGATGATGTTGAGCGATTGATATGTACAATGCCCAGGCAATGGTTATGGGACTATTTGGGAGAAAGGACAGAAGTCAGGACAGGAAAGAGAAAATCGATCGGGAATATATCCATAAAGGGAAGGGAATCAGTAAAAGCCATTCAATCTTCTTTAGACAAGAAGGCTTCCAGTCACTGGAGGAGTAGAGAAACAGGCATCTGCTTAGGATAGAAAGCATGTACACAGGTTGGACTCACATCAGCCCCAACCAACCCAGCCAAAAGAGAGAATGGGAGTGGGGAGAGGATATTGAGGATCACAAGTCCTACCTTTGTGTCGAGTGTTTTTTTCTAATAAGGTGAAACTGTTCCAATGTAGAATTGTGCTTTTTCTATGCTAAATGACTTTGGGACCTGTTCTCCATCCCAAATGATAAAAATTAATCTGGTTTTAGAAAACTTGCATAACTTAATACTCAAACATTTTCTATTCCTTGTGCAAGAGAGACCTGCTGAAATGTCATCCACTTTTAAGCCTTTATGAAATGATGTGGCTTTATTGTTAGGAATCTCTTTGCAAGCTTGAGTTATGGTTGCCTTAGAGAATAAAACAGATGAATTCAAAATATATAGAACTGCATCTGATTAAAGGAGAGAAGATGGTTGAAAATACCAAGAGCTGGGGCTGGGCATGCCTTGTATCCTGTAATGCTTCTCAACCTCAGCAACTTTTAAGATATGTGGATTTCAACTCCCAGAATTTCCTAGTCAGCATTGTCAGACAAAGATGGAGGCATTGGAAAGGGTTTTTTCCTTGGGATTACTCTTTTGCCATTTGATGAGCAGTCAAAAAGTTTAGAGGGACAAGTCAGGTATTTCTTTTATATGAATGTGTGTAAGTAATAAAAGAGGCAGTTGTACTACTGTGCCACTAATGTAAGCCAACTAATTAATACAAAATAAATAATGGGTTAGCAGTTGTTTTGTATGTGCCGGTGACACTGCTAATAAGATGATCAGTGTGTCGGTATGCCTTTTTATGCACAGGGAATTTCCCTGTCTGAAGGTTTTCTCTAATGGAGAATTGTGTCCATCAGAGAATCAGTTATGGCATTCATGTGCCAGCATTGGAAGTTGGTGATTGTATGTTAATTATATAGTATGTCAGAAAATAGCTAGAGTGTGCCATCTGGAGACGCACGCTATATAATTACTTGTTGTAGCAATACTGGTTATTTTTTTAGCCTGTTTATAAAAGGGTGTGTATGTATGCATACAGAGATAAAGCATAAAATACCACATTGTAAGTATAGGAGCACATACTCATTGACAAGATTATTTTTCTAATGTTGAATTCAGAAATAAGCCTGCCTGAGTTCTGTAGGATGGATAGATGTGTACACAGCCCCCTCCCTATCTTGGCATCCTTTAGATGTGTTCAGGCTGCAGCATTCAGAATTTCCAGGTGGATTTTTTTTGGCATCAGGAAGTATTGAACAGGATACATTAGAAACTATCTCACACTAGCTTAAACATCATTTAATACACATGCTGCATTAACCCATAGAATGTTTTATTTTGTGGAATATATTTTGTTAACGAGCAATTGTTATTTGCAAGGCACTATTTATGACTTAGCACAATGTAATATGCCATAGTTAACCAAACCTAGCTCATTCTAGTATACAAACTAGATTCTGAGTTTATGATAATTTAAGGATGACATGAATGGCAGTCTGAAACAACCTCATCCTTCTGCCTATTCCAGAATTCATTGTTAACTTGCAGTTCATGTATTCTGTATTGGATCAACATCTGATTTTGTGCTGCCCATCTCTTGCCGAGCTGTGGCTCTGTAACATGGTGTATGGTCTCTCTGTCTTGACTAGATGTAAACTGCCTTTTATAATTCCTGATTATCTGAGACGATCTTTGCTACACTGCCTATTATGGATCTTGAAGGAAGAGTTGTGGTGGCAAAAAATTTGGAATCCGGTAGTCCCCTTTTCAGTTAACAAACATATTAAAAGGCTTAAAAAATAAATAATAAAAGAACCTGTTTGCTCCAGTGCAGGGGTGTCAAATTCATGGCGTCATGTTGTTCTCACATGATGTATCGCGACTTTCCCCCCTTTTGCTAAAATGGGGGTGGGCGTGGTCAGCATATGACACATCCGGCCGTGGGCCATGAGTTTGACACCCCTGCTCTAGTGATAAGGCACCTGGCTAGAAACTGGGAGATAATGAGTTCTACTCCTGCCTTATGCACAAAAGCTGACTAGATGACGTTGGACCAATCACCAGAGACTGAGAGTTCTAGTCCCGTCTTAGGCATGAAAGCCGGCTGGGTGACTTTGGGCCAGTCACTCGTTTTCATCCCTACCCACCTCATAGGGTTGTTGTTGTGGAGAAAGTAGGAGGAGGAAGGAGTATTAGATATGTTCACCACCTTGAGTTATTTATAAGAAAAAATAATAAAGGTGGGATTTCAAAAAAAAATTCTAAGTTTTGGATGAAGCTTATACCCCCGATACAATTTTTAGTAAGAAAAAATGTACCAGATTCCAGATGTTTTGCATTGTTGGTCATTTGACTCAGTGAGTTCATCTCTTTTGAATTAATATGTTCTGCAGTAGATTCACAAGGCAATAACTATACAGTACTCAAGCTAAGTAGATTTGGCAAGGATGGCTAAATCCATCCATTTTTATTCCTTTTTGCTTCTCATTTTCAATTCTTTTTTTGTGTCCCATTTCTACACCACTTTGAATTTAGGAAAAAAAAACCTGAAGAGGCATAGAATTTTTTTTTCTAACGTGCACTTTTTTGAATACAATTTTGCCTTAGACATACTTTTTAAGGATTCCTTTTCTTGCACGATATATTTTTCTATATCATTTTAATCAGTATCATTTTATGAACTCTTTCCTTTTATTTATACATTTTGACATAATCTTTAAAACTGTACAATGGCAATTTTTTTACAAACAACTAAGTTTTTCTTTACATTTTGGTTTGAAAGTAAATTTGCACTAAAAGATGAACTGATGTCTCATTTATCCCTTAGACTGAATATGCTTAGAATTGGGGTGAGTATTATCTTGAATTACTGAACAAAGACACAATTTATGAACAATTAATATGTACTGTTGACCTTCCACATATGAATCATAGCTCCTAATCTTGATTTACAGTTAACTTTTTAATATAAGATAAGAATCAGTTTTGGCACTTTAAGCTTGATGTCTGGCAGTTCTTATAAGAAATATCCCACCAATTACATCTTGTTTATATTTTATTTAATAATAGCTGCCTAAAAGTGTTTATAAAGCTTCAGATGGTTTTACTATTTTAAAAACAAAATGTACATGCCAATAATGAAATAACAGATAGGTATAAAGATAGAAAATTGCCAACCATATGTCAAGAATAGGGCTAACAAAAATAAAGACGCCATAATGAGTATTTTTTGTGCAAAGTCTTAACTCACTTTTGAAAAGATATTTTGGAGAAAATCTAGTTGTGCCATCTAAAGAGTTTCTCGTAAATCTGACCTTCCAATGAAAAAACATTTACTTCTACTGGAACTGAATCAAGCCACTTTGTAGGATCTGAAGAGGCAGGCCGGAGTGGAAGGGGAAATTATTTTCTTGCAGAAGGAATTTTTTTCCACCGACCATTTGAACTGCAGCAATTACGGAGTTAAGAGGGAAGATCCAGTATTGAACTGAGCCGAGAAACTAATCAGCAATTTATGCAGACTTCTCAAATGGATGATGGGCGAGACCATTAAATGGTTTCCATTAGCCTGCCATGCTCTACTCTAGATGAAGTTCCTGAACTGCCTTTAGCAACAGCTCCATAAAAAGTGCATTACAGCCCTTGAATCTGGAAAACACCGATGCAGGAATTATGGCAGATGAACATCAGCCAAGCTTGTTCACACCAAGCAAGGCGAGTGGTAATGCAAAGCCAATTTATGAAACAAATTGCATCTTTAACACATACCTAAAGAGGGCACTTGTGAATGCCTCAGACCTGTTTTTAAAATATGTATCAGGAATGGCCATTGAGCAGGGAGTTGGATCTGAAGATGAATCCCTGGCCATCAAACCTGATGGGAAGGTCCACATTAGCTCCCTCTTCCCAGTTTTATGTCTGCACAGAAAGCGGAATGCAAAAGTCTTGAACCTGGAAAGGAAGCTGTAGGAATGGAAGGCATTAAGAATTTAACACAGTTGGGACTCCCTCCTCTCTATGAATGACCACAACTCTTTTACATCCTCCGTGCAAGAGAGTATAAAGTTTATGTAAGATAAAAATCAGTTAAGAATCAGTTTTGGTGCTACAAGCCAAACATCTGGTGCTATAAGCTTGACATTAAGTCTGCATTCCAAAATGAAAATGTAGGGATATGTGTGTGTGTGCATGTGTGTGTGTGTGGATTGTCTGACTATTGATCCTTGGTGAGTGGCAGTGCAACCGCAACAGTTCCTGTGAACCATTAATTATTACAATAGTTTCTTCCCCAGCCTGATCTTGCCAAAGCTCATGTTGGCTGACAATGGTAGAAGTTATAAGCCCAAATATCAGGATGTCAGAGATGAGGAGGAATGATGTAAGTTTTTAAAAATTAAAATAATATATTTTTTAAAAAAATCTTTGTATATTATTTCTTAACAGTTTTCCTTTATTTTGCATATGCCTAAACATACTGCAAGGATGGAGGATTTTATGTTTGCTTTTATTCAAATATTAATTTTGGACACATCCAAATTTTGGCATTTAGATATTTTGAAGTCCTGCTGATCCCCAAAAGCAAACACAACTTGGTTAATATTTGAATGGGGGATCATTAAGAAATTCCAGGGCTGCAAAGCAGATGGAAAGGAAAAAAGTCCCTGCAGATTTTATTCCGCTAATGATTGCTGCCTAAAGGCGATGGCACTCAGCTCTGTTTCAAAGCTGTGAGCCAACCCTGTCTGAAGACATTTCTGTAGCCAGCATGATGTCACGGAGCACTGTTTCCTCCCTGCCGAAGTGATGCCTATTTATCTATTTGCATTTACATGCTTTCAAACTGCTAGGTGGGCAGGAACTAGGCGAAGACGGGAACTCATCTTGTTGCGCAACTCTCGGGTCTCGAACCCAGGCTGTCTGCCTTCCAGCCAACAATTTCAGCATGTTAACTACTGAGCTATGGTGCTGCCCTGCAAAGCAGATGAGTTTGTTAAAAAAAAAAATCTTATCTGGGAGAAAAACAGTAGCATTATTTATTTTTAGCTACTGTGTTTCCCTGAAAATAAGACCCGGTCTTATTTTATTTTGGGCCCCAAAATAAGCACCAGGTTGTATTTTTGGAAGATGTCTTACCCACTTACCTTAGGGCCAATGCAGCTAGCCTCCCACACCCCGATACCTGTCAGGCCGCTGCCCAATTTCTTCTGCGGCTGCTTTCAACCACTCACTGACAGATGTCATATGGCTCACTGTGCCAGTACCACCACTCACAAAAGGAGACTGGGTGGCTCATTGTGCTGGTGCTGCTGCTCGAGGCAGGATACGTGGTACCATTGTGTGCATGAGTGGTGGCACCAGCACCACATGGCCTGCTGCCATGAGCGGTGGCACCGGTGCAATGTTCTACATCGCGTCTGACTGCAAGGGGTGCGAGTCGAAGTCAGGCAGTGGCACAACAGGTGTCTGGGCATGGGGGGTCTGGCTGAGGTGGTTCTAAGGTTAGCGGGTGCAGGGCACATGGTGCAGCTCCACCCCTACCCCCACCCTGACTTGATTTTTACACATGCACTCACCCCACCTTGTACAACCAAAGGGAGGGACGGAGTGGGTGGGATCTTAACCAGGGCTTATTTTGGGGTTAAGGCTTATTTTAGGCGCACATGGAAAAATCAAGCTAGGGCTTATTTTGGGGATAAATCTTTTTTGGGGGAAACGTGGTTTTGTTCAATTTATTTGCCCTTTATCTCACTGTGGGGCTGCTCTAACAATAATATAAAGGCACAAAAATAGAAACAATGTAAACAGAACAGAAGTAAAATAACAGAACAATAAAATAATAACAAAGGAACATAACGAGAAGAATACATCAATATCATAATCCCAAATATGGCTGGATGGAGAGCGGAGAGTAAGGGGGGAGGGATGGAGTCTGACATTCAAAGCAGCCCCCTCCAGTGTGGTCCCCATTGGGTTGCCAGGCCTTCAGGCCCTTGGGAAGGATAAGAAGTGGGGGCAAATCTCATCCCGAAGGGCAGGATGTTCCAAAGGGTGGGTACTACAACAGAGAAGGATGGAAGTAGGACTGATGGGATACAAAGTAGGCCCCCTCTACCAGCATGGGTAGGACCAGCTTATCTTAGTGGGATGTCATGGGGTAGCCTGGTAAAATTGCCTGGACCCAAGGTGGGGAACTATGGCCCCTTCATGACTTGTGGACTTCAACTCTCAGAATTCCTAAGCCAGCATGGTTGGCTTGGGAATTCTGTGAGTTGAAGTCCACAAGTCATAAAAGGACCGTAGTTCCCCATCTCTGTCCTAGACTAACAGTAGAGACATTCGTGAAGCCACCAGTGTGCATCTCAACACCAGGGCGTTTTTTAACAATTATTAAATCTTGTCTCCCAAACATGAAATTCCGCTTGTTTCCCTTCTTCTCACTTATTATTTAACTCTGCATTGAATTAATGTTGGCATACTTATCTTAAATTACATTAGCCAGCATAAATCTTTTTTTAAAAAAGTTTTTTTTTATTAATAATACAATTAAAAACATTGGACATGGTTTGACATTTCTGGTTTAGACATTTCTGTCACATTTTACCTTTCAATTAATACAATTCCTTTATGTTATACAAATATATACCTTGTTTCACAATTCAAACATGAAAATTCTTACATCTATAGAACTTACATCCATAACAATTTCATTCCTATCTCTTTCAAGAAACTAACAAATGGATTTCTAAACTTTCAACTCATCAGTAATTCTTTATCCTGGCAATCTTCCTCCTCTCCAACCAATAGTATAATTTATTCCAGATTTCGTAATATTCTGTTTCACTTTTATCTTTAAGTTCCAACGTCAACCTGTCCATTTCAGCACAAGTTAATATCTTAGCTACTACTTCTTCTTCTGAGGGGGGGTTTCTTTATTTTTCCAGTTTTGTGCAAAGGCCAGTCTTGCTGCCATTAGAATATGTAACATTAAGTATATTGTTTTCTTATTATAATTATCTATTGTAATATCTGGTAAGAAAAGTTCTGGCTTTAATTCTATATTTTGCATTAGCATTTCCTCCAGCCATTGCTTTATCCGGTGCCAAAAGTCTCTGGTTTTTGGGCATTCCCACCAGATATGATAAAAGGTCCCTAGCACTGCCTCACATTTCCAACACATGGATGAATAATTTTTGCTCATTTTGGCTAGTCTTGTAGGTGGGAGATGCCTCCTATAGAACATCTTGTATAGATTTTCCTTATACGTAGTAGCTGAAGTAAGTTTTCTGTTCCTTTCCCATAGATCCTGCCAATTATTTAAATCAATGCTACAGCCAAAATTATTGCTCCATTTTAACATGGTTTCCTTCACTTGTTCTTCAAACATAGCCTGCTCCAGTAGATATTGATATATTTTTCTAATCATCTTTTCCTCTGAACCTAATAAAATTTGGTCAAATTCCATTGGTTCTGTGTTTATGCCCCATTCTTTTTTGTCTTTCGTAAATTTTGATTGAACTTGGAGATATGCCCACCATTCAAGTTCTATTCCTTTCTCGAACAAATTTTTCCTAGACTTCAATTCTCCTCTTTCATTTAATATATCTTTGTATGTGATTGATCTTCCTAATTTAATAAAATTTGGATGTATGAACATCTCCAAAGTCGATAGCCAATTCGGGATTTCCATATAGTTACATTGCTTAGTTTTAACCCAGACATCTAGTAGTGCTCGTCTGATAAAGTGCTTCTGGAAGTACTGGTGAATCTTATATTTCTCTTCCCAGAGGAAGCCAGCATAAATCTTCTCAAGGGTCCATCAAAGTTAACCTTAGAAGTTAAGCTGACAGTTTGAAATTCTTTCCAATTTCAGATTAGTTACTAGACTTAAATCTCAGCACTGATCTTTTTCCAGACGGTGATCACAAAAAGTCAACGGATCAGGTTTCATCTGATGCCTGGAACTCAGCTGTTCTTCCCACCATTATTATTCAGGAAACCCATCAGCCCCTCAGAATGAGGTGAAAGATGGTGGATGAGAATACAGGTTGTCCTCAACTTACAGCAGTTTGTTTAGTGACCGAAGTTACAACGGCACTGGAAAAAAAAATACAACCATTTTTATACTTATGAGCATTGCAGCATCTCCATGGTCAAGTGATCAAAATTCATACACTTGGCAACTGACCCATATGTATGACGGTTGCAATGTCCCAGGGTCAGGTGATCACCTATTGTGACTTCTGATAAGCAAAGTCAATGGACAAGTCAGGTTCACTTAACAATTGTGTTACTAACTTAACAGATGCAGCGATTTACTTAACTGTGGCAAGAAAGGTCATAAAATGGGGCAAAACTCACTTAATGAAGTCTTTTTTTTTTTAATACAATTTTTATTGTTTTTTTTTTTACACAAATAAAATATAATAACAATTCTGTTTAACATCGGATTCGCAGTGTTTATACATATATACATGAATAAGTGTCTGGTGTCATTTATACTATACATTTCTAATTGATTTCTGCACCTTTTATTTCTTCCTTAATTCTATCATCTATCCATTTGTACCATCTTCCCCACACAGTATCACAGTCAGAATTTTCATCATCATTTATCTCGTGAGTTAATTTACTTATCTCTGCACACTCTAATATTTTGTTAATTATAAGGTCATCTGGTGGTAGGTCTTTCTTTTTCCAGTATTGAGCGTATGCTAGTCTGGCAGCTGTAGTTATATGTATTAGGAGGTGGACCTTTTCCTTTCCGTACCCTTTCTTTACCATTCCCAGGAGAAATATTTCTGGGTTCAGATCAATGTCTTCTTTAAGTATGTCTTTCAACCATCTCCAAATTTTACTCCAGTACTTTTTTGCTTCGGGGCATGTCCACCATGTATGAAAGAAGGTGCCATGACCATGGCCACATTTCCAACAATTTGGCTGCGCATTGGGGAATATCTTTGCTAGTCTTGCAGGTGCCAAATGCCACCTATGAAGCATTTTGTAGTGATTTTCCTTATATGTGGCTGCTCTAGTTAATTTATAATTTTTATTCCAGGCTTCTTCCCATTCATTAAAGTTCAAACTGTGTCCAATATTTCTCTCCCATGCTCTCAATTGATTTCTGATTATATCCTCGTCTCTGTCTTCCTCTAATAAATAGTTATACAGCTTGGCCAACGCTTTTTTCCCTGGTCCCATCAAAATTTTGTCTAGTCCCTTATATCCTAATTCTAAGCCATACTCTTCTTTATCTTTCTGGTATCTTGATTTTATTTGCAGATAAGTCCACCAATCTAAGATTATACCTTGATCTCTCAGGGCTTCATTTGATTTAATATTTCCCCCTCCATCGATAATATCTTTGTATCTGCACAATTT